GCCAGCCTCGTCCATGGACCGGAGGAGTTTGGCCTGGTAGACCTGCAACACGGCCATCGTGTGCAGGGCCGATGCAGCCTGGCCGGAGGCGGCGTACGCGCGTCCAGCGAGGGCTGAGGTGTTACGGCAGGGTTTGTTGGGATGAGCGGCTCTAGCTCGCCAGCTAGCTGCAGAGCTCGGGCAAAGATGAGCTGCCACGGCCTCTTCGAGGGGCGGCAAAGACTCATAACCCTTTTCCGCTGCGCCATCCACGGAGGAGAGCGTCGCGGAAACTGCGGATCCCACACGTGCTGAGTATGGAGCGCGCCAGGCCTTGGTTAGCTCCTCGTGGACCTCGGGGAAAAATGGCGCCGGTTTGTGACGTGGGGCCTGCTGGCGCCCCTCCAGAAACCATCCATCCAGCCGACTATCGGGTGAGGCCCACTCGAGGTCGAGGTCCGCGACGGCCTTCGTCAGGATCCGAAGCATCTCGGCGTCGGAGTTCGTCCTGGTCGCTAATCCGCTGGCCACCGATTGAGAAGCGGTGACGGGGTCGAGAGAGCCCGGCCACTCGTCCTCGGAAGCGGCGATGGATAAGCTGTCGTCGCGCTCAAGAGATCCGCCGAAGGAGACGAGGCCCGCCACGTGAGGGGGGGGGGGGCGCTGGTCTCCTGCGAACAGGACCGGTGATGGCGTTTGAGTCGGAGAAAGTGAAGCACGCGGGGACGCGGCCGGCGTGCGTTCACAAATCTCCATACCCTCCGGTTGCCGTTGGCTGCGACGCTTCTTCTTCCTTGGAACGGAAAGCGTGGATGAAGCGGCGTCGCCGTCCCGGGAGAGAGCTAGCCGATTGCGCAGCCTCACATCCGCCGGCAGAGAGAGCATTCTCTGCGTGGTCGATCCCCAGGCAGGAAATGCAGCTCGTGTGCTGGTCTGCCTCGTGCAGACGGCCTCCGCACGTGGCGCAGGATGGACGAGGCATACTGAAAAGAATGTTAGCAATATAGAACAAAGGATATAATGTCGCCGGATAGCCACAGGTGAGACGGCGTCAGGAGAAATCGACGTGCAGGCGAAGTCTGCTGAAGAGAAGCACGCTCAGGCTGAAAGGCTTGTTCGACGGCGTACAGAATGCTACAGTAAAAAGGCTTGTTCGAATGCTACAGTAAAAAGCTCAGGGACATGTGTACTGTCGCTGAAGGAGTAAAATCTGCTATAATGACGAATTCGGGGGTCTATATAGGCAGGGCACGCCCCCTCGACGGGCTCTGACGTTGGGCTAGCTTATTGGTTGTGCGTCAGAGTCGCCCGCGCCATTGGATGTGCAGTTGCTGCAGCACAGCCTATGAGCGGTTCAGACGCTCAGGGGGCTGGCTGTGCAGATGCAAATGCGTTTTACATATAAGCTTCAGTAAATCGAGGAAAGGGAGTTTCCCCACTGCGTATAGCTACGCAATACGAAGTGACCGTTCGAAAGGGAACATGTTGTAACGCTTCTTGAAGGCGCTTTTTTTTTTTTTTTGAATTCATCACCAGCTCGCCTGAGCGCGGGATTTGACGTTTGCGGTCGCTGCTGAGAAATGGAGATGAAGATCATAAAGGGCTGAATTTGGATCTGTTTCTTGCGAACAACGTATGGATTCTAAAGATTTGGATTACATCAGGCTAATACAATTGATGTTTTTTTGTGAATTTATGTTGTGTTTTATTGGAGAAAACGCTTTTTGTGTCTCAAGGTAAATAAACTAAATACTGCGAAATGGTTAGACGATTAAACAAGGTATTTTTAAGGTTTTAAAGTGTAGGCTATTCTTGTTTATTGTTTACAGAACACTGTAATTTACTGTAAAGGCAAATAGGTCACCACAATGTCAAATAAAAAAATCTAAAATAAAGAGTAAATCTTTAAAAGTGCTATGCCGTAATATCCCAGAATCTATCAAAGCATAACTATCACATTTATATTTCAGAGTTTACTATCCACTACGTAACCTTGTGTTTTGCATTTACTGTGGTACACAACAATGACCCTAACAATTACACTTTATATTAAGTGGACAGTTCCTGAGGAGTTACCATGTAACGAAGTACACTGTTAATGCAGTGTTGCACAGAGGTTGGGTTTTGCATAGTACATGTAAGTTATGACCATTTTACACTTTATATTAAATGGACAGTTCCTGAGGAGTTACCATGTAACGAAGTACACTGTTAATGCAGTGTTGCACAGAGGTTGGGTTTTGCATAGTACATGAAAGTTATGACCATTTTACACTTTATATTAAGTGGACAGTTCCTGAGGAGTTACCATGTAACGAAGTACACTGTTAATGCAGTGTTGCACAGAGGTTGGGTTTTGCATAGTACATGTAAGTTATGACCATTTTACACTTTATATTAAATGGACAGTTCCTGAGGAGTTACCATGTAAGTACACTGTTAATGCAGTGTTGCACAGAGGTTTGGGTTTTGCATAATACATGTAAGTTATGACCATTTTACACTTTATATTAAGTGGACAGTTCCTGAGGAGTTACCATGTAAGTACACTGTTAGCACAGTTGCACAGAGGTTTGGGTTTTGCATAATACACAGTAAGTTATGACCATTTTACACTTTATATTAAGTGGACAGTTCCTGAGGAGTTACCATGTAAGTACACTGTTAGTACAGTTGCACAGAGGTTTGGGTTTTGCATAATACACAGTAAGTTATGACCATTTTACACTTTATATTAAGTGGACAGTTCCTGAGGAGTTACCATGTTAGTACACTCTTAGTACAGTTGCACAGAGGTTTGGGTTTTGCATAATACATGTAAGTTATGACAGTTTAACACATTGTATCAAGTGCAGAGTTCCTGAGGAGTTACCATGTTAGTACACTGTTAGTACAGTTGCACAGAGGTGTGGGTTTTGCATAATACATGTCAGTTATGACAGTTTAACACATTGTATCAAGTGCAGAGTTCCTGAGGAGTTACCATGCATGTACACTGGTACCACAAGGGAAAACTTTAGCTGTAATTCAACATAAGTCCAGCAGGTCATATAGTAAATACATGGTTTACACATAGGAATCAGGGCTTCAGTGTGTTCTTAACTGGTAACTACAGTATGGAAGACTGCGTGTGGAAGTGGAACAACTTGTGTGAATACATATTGTTGTTACAAAATGTAGTTACATAATGCCTGTTACACATGTGTACTTACTGTAGTGGAAAAAGTGTTGTTACCAATGTCCTGTTACACATTTGTACTTACACATACCTTTCCGTGGGTTGTTACATATGTGTAGTTACACAAATATTACAGTTGTAAATACTATGTACAATGTGTATTTACACTGTAGTTACATACTAAGTACATATCTAGTAACCATGTAAGTTCACAGGTATTAGGGCCACTTAATATAAAGTGGGACCGCGAACTGAATCTGCTTAAATAGGGCGCCCTGATTTGAGTGTAGTCATTAGCAGCGAGGGGAGATGAACAGCAGATGCGCTGATGCAGCTCAGCTGAGCGATCGCTGATGAGACCCATAGACAGTATAAGAAATGGACAGAGCCATCTCATTGGAACTCAGTTGAGACAGTTGAAGCCCATTTTTAGCGATTTTTGAGCACTTCCGTTCCTGACGCGCAAACTCAAACCGACTCAAACTAAGCTTGATGACGTGAGCAACCTGTCTGACAGACGTGAATCTTCTAGTAGCTGTGCGTGAAAATTTCCAACGTAAATCTTGCAGAGACGGGGAACTTGAGCAAAGAGTCCTTTATCGTGAGTGAGCAGGAGTAAGTATTCCGTTGCTTTTATGGACTCATTATCTATGGGCTTCTCTCTTGACGGGACATCCCCCCGATTGCCTGCGAGCTTCTCCTCCTGTCTGTACGGTAATTTCTGTACAGCGCGACAGAGAGTCGAGTGGTTATGACGCAATCGTTAGCCTATTTTTACTAAAACTGTTTCTACGGGGCCATAATGTAACATAGAAGGTAATGGAGCCCTTTATACATTGTCGTGTTTCTTTAAAAATAAATAATGGAGAAATGGAGTCTTTAAACGCCTCAGATGTAAAGTTATTCGCTGTCAAAGTGACGCCAAAATGAATGGGAGTCGATGGAAATGCTAACGCAAGTGAAGTTCTGCTACAAGATGGCGGTACCCGGCTGGCTTCAACTTCCCGTCGATGGATTACCCCCTTGATGAGACCGTGTTGTCCGCCAATAGCGTTAGCAGCATCTTAACTACCTGGCCTGCCAGAACTGACGCTGACCCTCAATTCGTTGTATTTCATAAAGACAAGTTGGCCTAGTTTCAACATAATTTCTGATATTCTGTCCTGGCAGATACGTCACTGTATTGTTAGACAGATAGCGAACATCAACAATAAGACTCAGTAGGCTTGACTCCAGGTTGAGTGTTTTCTTTACTGAAATCTTGGCTGTTTTCTTTTTTGTAAAACTGCAATACAGTATAAAATAAACACAGTTACAGTCAAATATGTGCAACATCAACATAAATATAATAGCCACAGCACATATTACAATATGATTCTCTCAAAGAACATACGTAAATGGGCTAAATAAAACACAGGCAAGTAAATAATCATAAATGAGGCTTAACAGCCTGTTAACTCTGTATATAAAGCCCAGTTAAATACATGCTAGCGGTTAGCATCGCGATTAGCATTAACCCGATTTTTACTGAAAATAAATGTTTTTAAACAACAGTAGTAGAACATCAGCACATGTTACTTAAATGACTGAGCGACCATACTCACTGATGGATCTATTCCAAGGATAGACAAATAACACTGGTGGTGGAGCATTCAGTCCGCATGTACACCTGATGATGATTTCCTTACAAGTGCAATGACTCCAAATACCACCAGATGGCGCTATTAACATTACTAACAAAGTACTGACACTGATAGGAGTCAGAACATCTGATTTCTAAATTCATGTTATTAATGGACATCATACCATGTGCAATACTAATATATACACACACACAAAAATCACAAATAAAATTCCAAATTTAAAAGCAATCTATAAATAAAGTTTCATGAAGACCATGAAAAAGTGCAAGTTTTCTTAAATAAATAAAAAGGTGTCCAAATAATTGTCTTATACATTCACAGTGTAACTCTGTGAGCGTTTTCGTAATAATTTCCGAAACCACATCCAATAGAGGCAGATCATTACAAGCCAGAAGCACACATAAGCTGCAGATCCAAATATCAAAAACTTGATCTCTTCTTTTTTACCATCTGTTGTCCACTTCTCATTGCATTCCTTGTAGATTGTGTACCCCAGGCCCCCCAACAAGATGGCTGCCCACACTGAAAGGGGTGCCAGGGGAATATAGTTCCCCACCATCTTACGACGACCCGATGTCCCCCAGCTGCTTTTATTCATGGTGATAATGGCAAAGTATTTAGCGGGCAGGAGGCTTGTCATGTAGAGGGCAGAGTATAAGGACATGAAGAGCATCACTGCATTTTGTCGTAGGATGCAGGCATAGGCTGCCTTTATCAGACCAATCAACTGGATGCAGCACAAAACCCACAAAATGTCACATAGAGTGCCTGTCCAGAAGAGCTTGATAATGGTGGCAGTGACAAAAAAAGGAAAGATGCCTGAGACAATGGATTCGTAGGTCATCCACAGGTTATGCTTGTGCCACCACATAGCATTATAGAGCCATTCACGAAAGTAGGATTTGCTCCAACGCATCTGCTGATTGAGCCAGCGCAGAAACTGGGCGGGAGTCTCGGTATAGCACTTAGAACGGGCAGTATACCTTATAGGAACAGAAACTCACCGTTAAAACATGTCTGTTTGAAATTAAATACAGTTTAGAAGTTTTTGACAGGAAAATAATCTTATGCTCATTATAGAGGACGATCACTTAGCAATTTTACTTCTAAATCATCAATGGTGAATCATATTTGGCCATACAGTAACTACTTACTTTGTAGCATAGCCCATGCTTAGCATTCGATTGGTGAGATGGCGGTCATCCCCAAAAGTGCAGTGGGTGCCGAGAAACTTCTGGTTGTACCAGGATTCCAAAAACTGCTGGAGGAGGTCATTCCTATAAAGACCTGAAGCGAAGATAATCAAACGCAATTATTCATACAGACAAAATATTAAAACTTAGATCAGGGTAACAAAAATACGTCTACTTGGTTCGATGAGAACTGAGTAATCAGTGCTCTGAGTGAACCAAAGATAGTTTAAATACTTATTTAAAAAACATATTTTATTCATGCTACACTCTAAAAAATAAATGTTCCAAAAGGAGGTTTTCACATAGATGCCATATAAGAACCATTTTTGGTTTCCCAAAGAACCTGTCTGTCAGTGAACAGTTTTTAAAAGAACCACTTTTTTTCTTAGTGTTATGAAGACACATTATGAAGACAAACGTTTTTATTTGAAATAAGCTGCACCGATGACTCATTCAGTATAAGAACAAGAACATGCATTTATACATAGCACATAGGGTCAATTTTGTTTCATTTGCACTTTTGGTTTAAAAAGGTTTTGTATTACATACCTAAGGGGCCACTGATACAGGAGACACAGTCAAAGAAGGACTGGCAGGACCTCTCAATGTTAAACGCCATCCAGTAGCGCAGGCTGCTCATGAAGCTGATATAGGAGTCTTTAAGGTTAAGGATCATCACGTCGCCTCCCACGGCACCGTATTTCTGGTTACTCTCCAGCACCTTGCAGAGCTCCACTGTGGCCAGAGGGTCTAATTTTGTGTCCGAGTCACATACCTGATTTCAAAAAGTAGAAAATGAAGAAAATGGGAGAGTGATGGAGTATTTCTTACATATTTGTTAGTTACCCTAAAATTCAATGCTCATTTTGTTCTTAGTATAAGTGCTTGTAAATATCACTAACCTGTATATAATCCACAGAGGACCCTAGTGACTTGAATGCTGTATACATCACTTCCCTCTTTCCCCCCCATTTTTGCATGATGCAAACACACTTCTTGGTCCTAATGAGTTCTTCAACCTCCAAGCGCTGGGGGTCTTCAGCTTCAGCATCTTGAACTTGGCCAGTGGGGTTCCAAGAGTGGTAGTTGTTTTGCCATATATAACAGCCAGGATCCTGGTCTGCAAAGACCTCCTGGAACATCTCCATCATGTAGCAGTCATATTCAGAGTTTCCGTCCACCACCATGACAATGCGTAGCAGCTCAGTTGGGTACTGCAGAGCCCGTACAGACACAAGGCACTCACGGAGATAGGCAGGGTCCTCCTGAAAGGCTGATATAGTAAAGCCAATGGATTTTGTGTAAGAGCAAGGTTTACGTCTTGCATGCATGCGCCGATGCTCCAAAAAGGCAAAAAGGCTCTGAATTAGGACGTGGATGCTTTGCAGCAGTCCATAGAAACCAAATGAGATGATGTTATATGGAGATGTAGCTATCTCAAAACCATAAATGTACGCCCATAACATCACCCCAAGGACCAGGAGAGCAAAAAGAAATGTAAGAATGGCTCGGATCAGAGAGCCAAAACTCCTTAATAGTGGCTTGATGTCCATTTGATTTTTTTTATCAAATTGCTAGAAAACATGAAAAAGAAAAGTATGAAAAAAGATTTACTTTTGAAGGAAAAACACTATTTTAGTAATCATCATCATCATCAAATATTGGTACTGAAAAATCATCAGGTAAAGTAACTCGAATGTCTTTTTTTTTAATTACACATAATATAATGAGTAAAATTACACATATAATAAATAGTAGGCCTATAGAATTAAAATCAATGAGCTGTTTTTAACATACCTATTCGGACAAACCCAGGTTTATTCACCCTTTCCTTAACCTGCTCTCCTCTAGATCTAACTGTTCATTCAGGAGCTCAAACTTATAGGCTGTCTCTTAGCTCAGGGAACACCCTTTCTGCAGATGTGTAATGAGCTGCAAATGTGCCTTATGTAGCTCAGAGCACGCCTCACTCAAAGGACTGCCATCCATGACTCACATGTGTCACGTTCGTGTCTGTTTTGGTCTTCTGTTTTCAGTATTAGTCACATGACTTTTGCTTTCCCGCCACTCATCTGTTTCCATGCCAACCGTCATTAGTTCATCTTCATCACCTGTGTCTTGTTAATCACCTTCATCCGTGCCACCTGTCTTCACCTTGTTAGGTTTGATTTGTGCTTGTATTTAGTTTGCTTTGTTCAGTAGTCTTTTGTTGGATCTTGCAATGTTATAGTGTTTTTGTGAGTGCACCCTCTGCCTGCCTGTACTTGTTTAATTTTGAGTAAATCTTTGCATTGGAGCTTTTTGCCTCATCCTGTCTTTATCTACACCACAACCGTGACAACATCCAATATACGTCACACTCTTCTTATTGCATTTACTGTTGGGTATGTGAGGCTTACAGAAGATGAACGATCGTCATCAATTTAAGGTTTTACAGTAATATCTTGGTTAAGGTTTCAAAGTATCTTAGCGAATAGTCATGGTTCACAAGGTGTGCATGCTGTATATACTGGTCCTTCTCAAAAAATTAGCATATTGTGATAAAGTTCATTATTTTCCATTATGTAATGATAAAAATTAAACTTTCATATATTTTGATTCATTGCACACCAACTGAAATATTTCAGGTCTTTTATTGTTTTAATACTGATGATTTTGGCATACAGCTCATGAAAACCCAAAATTCATGTCTCAAAAAATTAGCATATTTCATCCGACCAATAAAAGAAGTGTTTTTAATACAAAAAAAAAAAAGTCAACCTTCAAATAATTATGTTCAGTTATGCACTCAATAGTCAATACTTGGTCGGGAATCCTTTTGCAGAAATGACTGCTTCAATGCGGCGTGGCATGGAGGCAATCAGCCTTTGGCACTGCTGAGGTGTTATCGAAGCATCCTGGGCCTCCATAGCGGCCTTAAGCTCATCCAGAGTGTTGGGTCTTGCGTCTCTCAACTTTCTCTTCACAATATCCCACAGATTCTCTATGGGGTTCAGGTCAGGAGAGTTGGCAGGCCAATTGAGCACAGTAATACCATGGTCAGTAAACCATTTACCAGTGGTTTTGGGACTGTGAGCAGGTGCCAGGTCATGCTGAAAAATGAAATCATCTCCATAAAGCTTTTCAGCAGATGGAAGCATGAAGTGCTCCAAAATCTCCTGATAGCTAGCTGCATTGACCCTGCCCTTGATAAAACACAGTGCACCAACACCAGCAGCTGACATGGCACCCCAGACCATCACTGACTGTGGGTACTTGACACTGGACTTCAGGCATTTTGGCATTTCCTTCTCCCCAGTCTTCCTCCAGACTCTGGCACCTTGATTTCCGAATGACATGCAAAACTGAGCAACAGTCCAGTGCTGCTTCTCTGTAGCCCAGGTCAGGCGCTTCTGCCGCTGTTTCTGGTTCAAAAGTGGCTTGACCTGGGGAATGAGGCACCTGTAGCCCATTTCCTGCACACGCCTGTGCACGGTGGCTCTGGATGTTTCTACTCCAGACACAGTCCACTGCTTCCGCAGGTCCCCCAAGGTCTGAAATCGGTCCTTCTCCACAATCTTCCTCAGGGTCCGGTCACCTCTTCTCATTGTGCAGCGTTTTTTGCCACACTTTTTCCTTTCCACAGACTTCCCACTGAGGTGCCTTGATACAGCACTCTGGGAACAGCCTATTTGTTCAGAAATATCTTTCTGTCTTACCCTCTTGCTTGAGGGTGTCAATGATGGCCTTCTGGACAGCAGTCAGGTCGGCAGTCTTACCCATGATTGCGTTTTTGAGTAATGAAACAGGCTGGGAGATTTTAAAAGCCTCAGGAATCTTTTGCAGGTGTTTAGAGTTAATTAGTTGATTCAGATGATTAGGTTAATAGCTCGTTTAGAGACCCTTTTCATGATATGCTAATTTTTTGAGACAGGAATTTTGGGTTTTCATGAGCTGTATGCCAAAATTATCAGTATTACAACAATAAAAGACCTGAAATATTTCAGTTGGTGTGCAATGAATCTAAAATATATGAAAGTTTAATTTTTATCATTACATTATGGAAAATAATGAACTTTTATCACAATATGCTAATTTTTTTAGAAGGACCTGTACATGTATAGAGTGGATATAATATACAGAATAAAAATAATTATGGAAAGTTCCCATAAAATAGAGAAAGCCCTGTGTGTGTGCTCTTGTTTTTATTACATTGTGAGGACCAAATGTCCCCATAAGAATAGTAAAACGTGAAATCACCTACATTGTGAGGACTAGCCAATGGTCCCCACAAGGGAAATTGATTAATGAACATACTTAAAGGGGTCATGAGCTGGCTTTTTAAATTGTTTTATATTGTTGTCTAAGGTCAACTTATGACGTTCGCTTGGTTTTTACATTCAAAAACATCAAAATGAATAGGTAATAGGCTATTTTCTACCCTAGTTTTGAGCCTAGCTCAAAAACCCTCGGTTTTTATGGGCGTCTCGCATTGAAGACTTGGAAGTAAACGCCTACTGCTGTGAGTGGATAACAGTTTTGCATATTATAATGAGTTTCGTGTAATGCGCGAATCGGTGGGCGGGGCTAAACCGGCCGTGTTGAAGTAGGCGTTGATCTTCTTCTGCGGGGGTGGTGTTTTATCCTCTTTGTCGTCATAGTTCCCCACTTTGAAAAACGAGTCGTTTGCTGAGCCTGGTGCCAATAAAAGCTTTTATTGGACTAACAAGGACGTTTTCAGTTCTGAAACTTACAGGATATTGTTATAATTTGATGACCTCTTAGATGTCAAAAGCTCAAGGAAAATTAGATTTCTCAGTTCATCACCCCTTTAATGATGTTTTTATAGAAAATGTAAAAGAGCAGAAAGTTTTCTGTGATGGGTAGGTTTAGGGGTAGGGTTAGTGTAAGGGGACAGAATATACAGTTTGTACAGTATAAAAATCATTACGTCTATGGAGAGTCCCCACAAAGACAGTGGACCAGACGTGTGTTCGTACCAGTGCACACCTGCAGGTGTGTGATCTCCAAACCCAGTGCAAGGCTATGCGGACGACGTGGAAATCTCCTCAAGAGATGAAAAATTTAATTTCCAACATGCTCCTCCGCACAGATGAGTTCATAAGGTGGCATATGCCCACCCAGACAAGTGAAGTAATACAAACAGTGAAAAGTCCCAGTGCTGATATGGGGAAATATAAACACATTCGAGGTATACAAATATCTATATTTATACAATAACAATGGCAATATATTATGGGCGTGGTCAAGTTTAGACATCAAACATACAAACTGTGCTGCATTCTATGAAAGACGCAGTGGAGGAAACGCAGTGGATGGTATAAAGCAAAGTCTGACAAACCCCCTGCCTTTTCATTAATGCAGAAATCCATCCGACTGTATGAACGCCACGAAACATATTGTAGTGTGTCGTCATTGGGCGATCACGTGACTGCTGTGATGGCATTCACCTGTGGAAGGACACAAAGGGGACTTTAAAAGAGAGGTGTGGGGCAAGCGAGAGACTCTCTGGGGTGGTGACCTGTGGAGAGCGTCTTGGCTGTCTCTCGGGGACGATAGGTCCTCCGGAGATGAACATAGTTAGGTAGTTAGCTGCCTTGGGGGCGAGAGAGGATAGTTAGAGGGGGGAAAATTATTAGAGTGTCACCAATTTCTTCGGAAGATTACTTGACTGTCACCCACATTCCACTGAGACTCAGAAAAGTAGCCTGCTATGACGCAAACATCAAACGGACTCGAAAGAACTTGAGCTGTAAACACCGCCCGGCGTGCAGTTTGGTGGCGGCTGTGAATACGAGGTTGCCTGCACTAACTACCTTATATGGATGGGTGTTCTTCACCCTGAGGGAGGGAAGTGCTTTTAATTTATTCCTGTATGAATGAACTGTTGTGAGTGTGTAACGAATAGCGGGCCAGGGAGGGAGGTCGGGGAATTGAGACCGGAGAGTTCCGCCCTATACTTGAGTTCACTGTGTGCCTATGGATTGGGGTGTCCCATTGAGTTTACAGCATCTGTGTGACGTGTTAAGCATGAAACTTACTGTGTGTAGATGACTTGTGCCTTGCGGGTCTTTTTGTGTGTCTGTTCTCTCATTCGTCTCTCTACTGGTATCCGTGATCAAGAGTTTTATCTATTTGAAATAAAGTGTAAACCCTTTCTGATTCAACTAACTGGCAGTTGAGAGTTTTTGATCACCGTAGGGCTGTTCATGAGGTTAATTACAATATCCTTATCTGGGCCATAAATTTAACGTCAGTGGCGATTGGGAGTAACAGATCACAGAGCTGTGTCACGAGAACACCCAAAGACTTGGGCTGATTGATGCTGCCCCACTCCCATAATTGTGAAAATTGAATCCATCAGGCTGATCGCAGCGGCTAAAATCCAACACTTTTTCCCGAACGTACATTCCACAACGTACACGGTCAGAGGTGAACACCGAAACGGTGAAGCTGGTGAGGAAATGGCTTTGTCTTAATAGTCATACAACTCTGGACATTATCTTTATGCCGCGTAGAGACGGAGGTCTCGGCGCCCCACACATCGAATGGC